TTGTGTTAAATACTCTTCCACAGAGAAACTCACCAAAAATCTCTGCCCAAGACTTATAGTCCCATCTACGGACGAGATCACAGGTCTTACTGGTGCGTAATCAGTTGATAAATAGGGTGGTGAAAAGGTCTCCAGGCTTAAGTCTGTTGGGTACACTACGCTGGTGAAGTTATAGTAAATATGAGGGTTGCCGCCGCCAACAAGAACACGGCCATCAGCGAGGAGAATTGCAGCTGAATGATACATTCTTGGACGTGGTGATGGTGGCATGACTGAGAACCGCTGATCAGACAGATGGGATGGATGGTAGATGACTGGTCTTGTTGCCGGCAGGCGTCCAAGTTCCCATCCAGCAGTGCCTAATCGAACACCGTTGATTATAATAAAATCGCCAGTCGGAAGAAGTAGCATATCGCCCATTGCTCGTGGAATCGACACGGTTTCCATGACCCAGCTCGCGTTTTGATCTGTGACCCTGAGTCGTCCACATGTGGGAGTCGCACGAACAAAGGTTCCACTTGCAGTTAGCTGGAATGCACCACTTGGTGCACCTCCACAAACCAAAACTTCAGGGTCAATTCTGTATTCATTCTCATCTAAAGGCAAGAGAACTGATGATCCAGTACTAGGATAATTGCGAGGGTCGCCTCCTGGGATGCTGGGAAACTCTCGAACCACACGGTTCTGATTGTAATCAAACAATATCGATCTTGTATTGGCAAAGATGAACAAGTTCCCATCTGGTAAGAGGTGTACGAACGGATAGAGGTTGTTCTCAACATCATCCTCCCTAGTTTCCTTTAGAAAACTGAGATGAAAAGTTCGACGAGGAGAAGAGCGAGGGAAGAACTCGTAGTTAAATTGCCTACGACCGCCAATAATGATAATTCGATCATCAGGAAAAATTTGATTAGTTGCATACCATCTTCTTCTTGATAAATACTCCGGGAACTCAACCCAATCACACGAGTCATTTGTGCATGGAGTAAACATGCGTGTTACATTGTCACCATCATGGTAACCCCCAGTTTGGACTGGGGTTCCATGGGGTAGAACTGCACCAGAAGAGCACCAAGTGTCTGTTTGGACCATTAGGGGACGGTAGGTGTCAGTGACAGTATCGTAAATGATGGAGTGTGCAGTGCAATCTATTTTAAGGGCGTCGTCGTAGGGGTCAACGCGGCAGAGGCCACCGGGGAGGGGGATGTTGGAGGGGCCAAAATCTGTGCGATCATATATTACAACTTTGTTGTCATGCATAAGTTGCATGTGCATATAGCTGAGATGCCTACACTTTCAGAGCCATCTCCCATGGCTGCCATCAGATGAACGTGTGGTCTTGGATATGACTACTGAAGGGTAAAAGATGAAGAAAGAGGGTGAAAGTAGGAGGAATTTGATCATGTTAATAGACATTGTGGTTGGAATGGCTCCGGTTGACACTACAGTGTGAAGCAAGACAGGAAGTAGATGCAATGGAGTTGATCAAAGTGAGCTAATACACTAACCAACCTTGTGTGCTAATTAATTTTGCACCAAGAACAGGGAATTAACAAAGGAAAATAATCTGGGGACGGCCTCACGAGTCGCACGAACCAAGGGTGTGTGTCTCTTGAATGGTTTGGCCAAGAACTGTGTTTTTTGCATGTATCAAATTTGTCTATACCAAGAGAAATCGGCCTCATTTCCTCCACAAGCTAGGATTGATCGATTCCTGTTTATTCCTAATTATGATCATTGTTACTGGCCGTTGTTAATTAATATGGCTGCTACTAGCTGTTATGAGGATATTGTAAAATCTATTTTTTTTAACCAGACAAGTGGCTCGCTCTTTGTTACTTGCCGAGTTGATTTCTTTTATAATTTTAAAAAATAATGTTAAAGAATTACCAATGTATTTTAAAGCAAAAAAAAATTGTTACTTAAGTTATTAACCTTAATGCTAAAAGCCTAAGAGAAATTGAAAGAAAAAAAAACCGACCAATCATAATTAGCATAATAAATTTATGATTTAAATTATGACATCGGGCATCCTCACTAAAACCATATAGAAAATAAACAATTAATATTTTAAAAACTCAAAATCAAAGGCAAAAAAAAAAAATATACGTATAAAAAAGTTTTAGAAAGAAGATTTATGTCAACTTCGACTTACATCTTATATCTATCATTCAGAGCATGAGATAATAATAATCGCATAAAAAAAAATAACAAAGCCTAACCTTCAACAATATAATATTAAAGATTGAAAATTTAAAATATATATATATATATATATATATATAAATCAATTAAAAAATAAATTTAACATAAAAATTAAAAAAAATATAAAAACTCAAGATAATATGAGCTATAATAAAAAAAATATATATATGACTCAAACTCTGAAACCAGGATATCATTTAGTAAGTATACGCCTCTCACATATGTCAATAACTTTATTTTTTAAAAAAATTAATTTACTACAACTCCACATGATATTGATGAACAAAACAAAATAAAAAGATAAAAAAATCTTTTAATCTAAGCTATAGATTTTTTGATTCTAAGATTACTTTAGTGATTATATTATTTTAAGAAAGATAAAAAAAATAAAAAATGTAACTGCTAAAGCGGTTAAGAAAATTCAACATTTAAGGGTATTTTTAAACATTATATTATGCAGATAAAATATTAAATAACTTTTTTACCCCTATTTAATCTTGTAATAACAAATATATCCCTAGAAAAACATCATATTACCCATAAAAGCATGTTATAAGTGTGAAGATAAAATAATAATTTTGTTATGCAAGTTCATGTTAAGTTGTGAGGGAATCCATAGTAAAAAGACCATATAATATTACTTACAAGTTTTGACAACCTTATTTTGTTGTGCTTTATCTTTTAATATTTTTTTTATTGATTTTTTTTATTTCATCATTCTACAATTTAATTCTTGGAATTTAATGATATTTATTTTTTTTTAATTTTTTTGTATTATATCGAGTTGTTAATATTTGTTTTCTTTAACATACAATGAGAACATTTTAATATTGTTTTTTTTACTCTATAAAGAAATCATCCGAGCCTACGACAAACCGCAACTATCAATCTAGCAAACTAGATGTAATTTTATTATTTTAAAATTTGACCCAACCTAATGGATTAATCTATAACCCGTGATATGAAATTATGAATCGAGTTTAAAAACTATAATAATTTTAAATTTATTTTATAGAGATAAAAAATTCAAATTACTTATTTCGCTTATATAATTTATATAATTATATTTGCTTATGGATCAATGCATTTAAATCATGATAATAAATAATATCTTACCATCTAATAAAAAATTAAAACTTGCATCCAGTCTAAAAAAAAAATAATAATATATAAAATTGAAAAATAAATATGATAAATTTTTTTATTAAGAATTTTAAATTACATCTTCGTTCCACCGAATTTATCAGAAATTAAATGAAGGAAGGCATCACTGCTTTTCTATTATTGGGATAATCCTCTCCAAACTTCTTCAAATACCATTTGTGATGGGCACATGCTCTGGGCACCAAGTTGGAACATGTAAAGAGGAAAAAACTAAACCCAGCCCAAGACCAGGTCATCACTGCCCAACCAAGCCACTCCACCATTTCTCCAAAGTAGTTTGGACAGCTAACCAACTCAAACCACCCTCCTCTTGGCACCTTATATCCATCACCTTCCCTCTTCAAACCACCCTCAGGTTCGAGTACTTGGTTGCTTATATGATGGCCACTGGAGGCTTACATGGTCGTTAACTTCAGGGCCCGTGGGATTAGTCGTGATGCGCGCAAGCTGGCCCGAACACCCACGTTAATCTAAAAAAAAGTATTAAAAAAAAAAAAAAAAGTATTCAGTACTTGAAGCATAAATGCAAGAAGGACCATACTCACCGAGACAGCACTTGTGGTTTTGGTATTCTGTTGAGTGGTACTGTGGTAAATGCGGAGTGGGTAGATGCAAGTGCGGTGGAAATTGGAGGAGATAAGGGGACATGAGAAGTAGTGCTTTGGGATTGGTGAAGTGTTGGCCTAAGGGAAAAAGGAGGAGAGGAAGCAAAATGGAGGGGGTTTCGAAGAGAAACCAAGCCAAAGGTGGAGAGATTGTGAAACCCCATCCTAGACGGTGGTGCCTGCCGTATGGGAGTTGAAAGAACTTTAGGGCAACGAAGGCAAGGGGTCCTAGGAGATAGAAAGTTAGAAGACTGTAGTGGAAGAGGATTTGATCTGACAAGGCCATTGTTGTTTGGTGAAGATAGACTGGGAGTGATGTAATGCGTCAAGTGCCAATTTGTTGCCACTTGCACACTAATTAATTAATTGGTGTGAATTAGCGTCATTTGTCTTTTAATTATAAAATATTTATAAAAAACTAAAAAAATATTTTCTTTTAACGATAATAAAATTTTAATTATTTTTTTATTAGTAAAGAGAGGTTATAATTTTTATATTAATTAGTAAAATTCTTTTATATTTATTTATAAACATAGTTAAATTAAATAAATACTTAAATTTTTATATATTTTATTTTTTTTTATTTTTTTATTAGATTTGTATAGAAGTATCATACTAACATAATAAGTAATGATTTAATATCAATATAAAATAGAAAATCATTTTATAGATGAAAAAAGATTGGAGTACAATCATGATAATACACCACCGGTTTCGAAATTCAAGACATTTGGATAATGTCCCGTTACTAAATGGACAAAGCCAAAAGTTGCCGCATTCCATGTACAAGTTGCCCTGCACACTCCATGCTCTACGATAAATACCATGCACAAGTTGCCCTGCATGCTATACCATCATTTGTTGAAATTAATAATTATCCTACTAGTTGATAATCCTGCACGGTCATTTTGTAGTTTCTATATTGAATTGTTGTGCTCTAACACGGATCCTCCTTAAGATTCCCTAACAACAGGTTTACTGATCATCCAAAAAGAGCCCCACCCCACTAATTATAATTGTCAACTTGATCGGCTATTTAAACATTATAGAATTGATTGTAAGCAGGTGTTTAGCGATAATCAAACAGATTGAGCCCCGGTTATTTTACAGATGTAACAGATCTTCCAAGGATCCATCGCGTGAGGAGTCATGAAAATGCAAGTTTGACACAGAATTCAACCAAAGAACTCAACCATAAAATCCAAAGACTCACATTGAATGGTTTTTGATGGAACTCGACCAACATAATATAACATCATAATACTGAGAAATTCAACCATTGGCTCATCGTATTCTAGCAAGCCACAACTCAGTCCAAGCAGGCAAAACCACACCAAAATTGCCAGTGGAAACAGATATTGTATTGAAGGGAAAGGGGAACTGAAACCAAAAGAGGTAGACTACACAACAATTCAGCCTAATTCCTTCTATCCTTGTTTCGCCTAGATGAAACAACTGTCCATCCATCTTCTGATTGAGCCTCCTTGGCCCTTGGCACATTGACTGGCTTGTCTACTGGATACATCTTCTGTTGGAATTCTGGTGCGTCCACCATCATGTTCGATTCATCATCACCCATTTTATCATCATTGCCGCTGTCCTCAGAATCATCGTCACTGTCCACAGCCTATGAAACAATAAGAAATAACAATCAAGAGAGAAAAAAAAGCTAATGAAAATCATTATAATTTTGTTCTTGCATGTAATTGGTGATATTTTTCAATATCCAATTTCCTTGCAATGATCTCCCTCTTAGCAAATACCAGAATGAGGCAGCATTTTTATGGACTGCTAGGCACCACAGAGGAAACTAAATAAACGAGCAGCACTATTGCACAACCAAAGTGAATTTTAATTTGATCATCAACTAGAAGCTGGATTCCACAGTACCCTCCTCGATGTTACAAGTATGGATTATGCGACAGCAAAATGAAATCTATTTGCTTGGGGGATATTTCCCGAAGCAAACAAGATATCTTCATTTCAGAACATAAAACTTGCAGATGCAGAATTCACACCATAATTACCTGCTTGACATGTTGATGAGCTCTTGTTCTAGGAGCTGCTTCCCTCAATTTCTGAATAGAACTATAGTTGCCTTCTAAACATTCTTCATGCATAATCATTAATTTTTCTGCTACCTGAAAAAATAAAAACTTCACCCTTCATATACAAAACCAGTTTCATTTAAGAAAAGAGAATGCAAAGAAATTCGTTGCCCCTGCAAAATAACCCTACATGGTTCAAGCTTCATTAAATTGGTACCAGAACAAAACAAAAACATTATCAAAGGCAGTTGGACCTATATGGGTGAGTTTTTGAAGAATCATCTGCAAACATTTTACTCACCATAACAATGCACGTACTTAGAAAAAGAAGAAGACTGCAGTGCTATAAAGAATAAGGGATCACCCCTTCAATGCTGCCATCCTCAATCATGGGATTCAGAGAAAGCATAGCTTCATCCAAGATGCCTTTCAAATCCTCAATAAAAAGTGGCTCTGAACCTCAGGGTGTAAGAGAAGTAACATCAGAAATAGAACTAATCAATTGCCCTTCGTTACAACAGTTAAATTAAAGTAAAGACGAAAAAAGAAAGCCTAAAAACTTGTCAATTCAATTACAGTCACAAACTTTTGACAAATTTCGTCCAATTTTATTCAGCTGATCATCCAAAAAATAAAATAAAAATCACAAAATTTGGCAATCAAGATCGCAAATCGCAGAAATTCGAGTCTAATTTTCACTAAAATGAAACGAAAAAAGGTAAAAACTTTCCATGTGATTCAGGACCGAGTTTACTACCTTTAGACTGAGTGAACCAAGAGAGGATATCAGAGGCGAGTTGCTCAGCCAATAGGCCTGACCCGCGGCCACCCCATTCGTTTTCAACGGCGAGTTGCAAAGCTGACCATTTAGAAAGAATTAAACAAATTCCTTCCCTGAATTGAGAAATCGAATCTGCTGTTAGTTGTTTTGAGGACCCAATTTGGCCAAATCCTCCAGTTATGCTGCTGCTGCTGCTCTCCATTGTAGATCGTTGTTTGTGTAAAACCCTAATTTCTTTTCCGAGGCTTTAATTAGGAAAGAAGGGGCTTGTTTGGTTTCGAGGATATAGTTGTTCTTTGTAGTGAACAAGTGGAAAGAAATCAAAGAATAGTTAATTGGGAAAAATACCAAAGAATTTAATTTTAAAGAATAAATTACTAATAAATTTTATGAGAGTTTTAAATATCAATAAATTCATTTTTACATTATTTTCTAACAATGTTAAAAAAACTAACATTCAAGTGATTTTATAATAGTTTCATGAATCTCTAATCTCTAATTGATAATGTATTAATTAGTTTATGACTGTGATCTACATTTTTTTGTACAAATAATATTTTTATAAATTTTTAAAAAATATCAAATAAAAATATGCATTTATAGGTGAAAGATATAGTTTCTTAATACTTATAAATCTTGTTTATAATATGTATTTTAAGTTTTTTTAATGAATAATATGAATCAATAAAAATAAAAATATATGAATATCACTCATTAATCCCTTCAAAAACTAATTAGAATATTATTGGTGGACAGATAATATTAAAATGATAATTTTTTTAAATAAGAGCATAACCCCCAAATTATTAAACCCTAATTTTACTAATAATTTTTGTGCAGTGAAGTGGTGAGCCATTATTATTGGTGTTTTTCTAATAAAAAAATTATTAATAATAATAGTTTAATAATTATTTTATTATTTTTTGTTTTATCAATAAAGATGTCATTTACGCATTTAGAATAAATACATCTTTAGTACATCTTTAGTATAAATTTAAGTAGTTCTGTCACATAAATTATTTTCTTAATATTTCATTAAGATTTGAAAAAAATACATTTATTGATAAACCAAGATTTTCTCAATATATCTTTATGAAAAAAATATTAAATAAAAAAATAGATATATTTTTTTTTAAATTCTCAGAAGCGTTGAACTGATATATGCTGGCACAAACACATTCCAATGAAAATATGCTATATTCAATCAAAGTTAGACCCAAAAGTTGATTAGGTCTAGTTAGTGTCAGATTTAGCCACGGTTGGGCACAATTGTGTGCTAAGCCTATACATGTTGGTTTTAACACTAGCTAACTATGATTATGCTTGATAGTATACCAAGCTTCAAGCGTATTAAGTTTGGCACTAGTTAAACCTAACTATAATTAAACTTGGTAGTATGTCAAGCCCCTAGTTTGGTGGGTCTGATCACTACTAGACTTAAAAGTTGCTAGGTTTGGCACTAGTTGAACCTAAATATTATAGGGTTTGGCGCTAGCAAAATCCAATTACTTTTGGGGTTGACAACATTAGTTCCATGTTTGGGTTTGACATATGGTGCTAAACTTAGTACTTGGGTTTGACAAATGATGTTAGGCTCAGACAACATCTAGATTTAGCATTTGTTAGACTCAACTTTTAAGTCTAACAGATATTGTCAAGTTTAGTAGCATGGTCTGATATGTTGTCAAGTTAATGAGGTAGGCCCGATGAGTGTTTCCTGAAAGTGTTGAACTCGAAGATTGTTTTTTGTCACATCCTGAGCATGGACGAATTCGCTACACCCATGGATTCAAACATAATTCATGAATTTAACGTTATCAATTTTATAGTTTTTTACATAAAATCTTAAATAATCTATTTTTCAACAATTAGGTTTAATTAAACAAACAAGTTTACACTTCGCTATAATCATTAGGTATATTAAAGTTTTTCATGATTTACCATGTCCTTACTTTTTTTATTGAATAAAATAAGTGGAATACAGCTCACAATATAATTTAAAATATTACAAAGATAAAATTATATTCCATCCGCTTCTTTTCATGAAAAACAAGACTCGTGGTGTGAGACATTTAGAACAAAAGTTTATTATTTTTATTCTCTACTGCAAATATATTTTCAGAGTTTCTCTTTAGAATATTATTGTATTTTTTTTCTCTAAAAAGATACTTATTTAAGTATTAAAGAATCCCCACATCTATTAAAAGAGACTTTTTATAAGTATTAAATATAATCTACATTAACCTACTTAATACTAAATATAAACTACCAATCATTTTAATTAAAAAAATAAATAAAATTGTTAAAATAAATTAATTAATCGATTATCCTATAAAAACTGTAGCTAAACTACTCGGATTTCTATTACTTCATCATTTATCTTCAAATTACACTTCAAAAATACCATTATTATTTCCCAATGATCTAATTGTTTAACCAAGCACCACCATGGTAGCCTAGAATATTACCCTATTGGACCGAGTCATCATCTTTGCACGTAAATGCCATGTGTCTCTTGTCACCTCCATGAATTTCTGACCAGAACAAGCATATGGCATTTAGCAAATCATCTCAAGATCAGCCAAGTGTTTCTGTAACATGAAGATGTCTCTCCAAATCTCTCCACGTTTCACTTCATAACTAAACGTGTCCAAATCTTGCCTGCTCTCAAGAACGTATAGCATGGCCCTTCATAACAATTGCCTGAATGAACCAGAAACAAGGAAAAGAAGAAACCTTAATCATTACAAACCTTCAACACAAAGTACCAATCAATCATATAGAAAATGAGCCAACGACAGCAACAAAGGCCTCAAGAACCCATCAAGTATGGAGATGTGTTTTCTGTGGAAGGTGAGCTTGCTGAGAAGCCAGTGGCACCAAGAGATGCTGCAATGATGCAGACAGCAGAGAATGCATTGATGGGGCAGATTCAGAGAGGTGGTGCTGCCTCAATGATGCAATCTGCTGCTATGAGAAATGAGAGAGCTGGGTTTGTTGGTCACAGTGATGTCAATGATGTTGCTAATTATCAGGGAGTGAGTGTCACTGAGACTGAGATGCCTGGGAGGCGTATAATAACAGAAGCAATTGGTGGTCAGGTTGGTTGCTTTCTCTTTTTTATCTTCCTTGTATTTGTATAAAACGCAGAGGATATTTCGTAATTTTGATTTCATTTTCCCTTTAGTTTCTATAATTTCAAGAATGAAATTCAGTCAGTGCTGATATATTAATTATCAGTGATTTATATATATATATATATATATATATATATATATATATATATAAATATCAGAT